CTGGGTTCCCCACAAGGAACCCATTGAGAAGATGATGGTGAAGATGGAGGACGGTGAAGATGATGCCGAGGATGAGGGGGGAAAGAAAGAAAAAATGCCATTTATGTAATGTTTGGTAATATTATAATTTTTTATTATTTTCACCGTATACGTGGCGTCTACGTCGGTAAAAAAAAAGCCACGTCATAAAAAAAAAGATCCACGTTGGATTGCTAACGTTATATAGTGCCACGTCAATTTTTGGGTGCCACGTAATATATTTTTTAACGGTGCCGTGACGGCCCGTTAAAATATTGGATTTTTCACGGGTTTTGAAAAGTGGAGGGTGTGAATAGGGAAGAAAAATTTTAGAAGGTGTTGACTGCGGAAAAAAATAAATGGAGGGTGCAAATAGGGGCTTTTGCCGAAGAAAAAAAATAAACGCGAAAGTTGAGGGCTCATGGCACGTGGCATGAATACTTGATTTTTAATTCTTACCCTTACCATGAAAAAACTATTAGTAACAATAACCAGTTGATTTAAGTAAAAAGAATTTGATTTTTTTTAAATAAGATTTTGAGTTTAAATCTTATGAATGAAGAAACAGGCGCTGACAAAGCTTCTCTCCTAATAGGGTCCAATGTGATTCGATTCCGAATTAATTAGAATCCAATGTGATTACTGGATATTGAGAAGTTAATAAAAAAAAAATCTGACATGGGCCTGACTCGAAATGGACTAAAAAACTAAGCCCAACCCTCAATCCGTTCAACGTACTGCAATGGTCCACAAACCTAACCTAAAAGCTTGAGTACTTATTGATTTTTTTTTTTTTTTTGAACATTTTGTTATGAGTCCGGCTTGAATCGTTGTCCTTGAAAAAAAAGGATATGAACTTTACAAGCGTGGTCAAAGTCACTTGGTCCACAAGGTTAAGTTCGAGTACTCATTGATTAGAAGTTTGGCTTTCACAAATTAAAATCATATTTTTTTCCCTAATTTTTTATGATTAAAAGGGAAAAAATTAATAATAAATAACAAGATGTATTTTTTTACAAACAATTATTATTTTTATTTTTAATTTATCTTAAATTAAGTTTTTTAAGTAAATAAATATTTATTTTTTTAACTTTATATAATCTATTTATTTAATTAAGTATTCTATCACAAAATATATGTTGTTATCTTTTAATTTTTTTTAAATAATATAAATAAATATATAAATATTTAAAAAATAAAAAATAACCATTTTAAAATAAAAGAGTAACATTAATCATATATTTGATTAAAAGAAAAGAAAGAAAGAAAAAAAAGAGAAATAGAAGGATGCAACCTTATATTTTTCTCTCTTTTTTCTCCCTTTATTTAACTAAATTAAAAAAAACTAGAAGAATTAAAAGTAAAATATAAAGTAAAGAATTATCTTCCATTCCTCTTCGTAACTTGCAAACTAGGGCTAGGCAAAATACTTTGTACCGATCGCCCTCCGAATACTAACTTTGAAGGAAGGAATTTGGGTTGTGCAATCGGGGTTCGGGTCCATTTCTTCGGTTTCGAGTTTAGCCCGAATTGTTTTAGTTCAATTTTCCATGGGTAAACCCAACACCAAAAAAACCTCATAAACCCACCAAAATATCGAATATATTAATAATTAAAATTTTAAAAAAGATAAAGAAACAATAATATCCTTATTGCACTGAGGTGCCCTTGATATTCTTCCCTTTTTGTTGTTGTAAAGAACTTTTAGTTCTTCCTTGGTTCGGTTTTTCCTTTTTTCCACCTTTCAAGCCTCTGGGTTTGTTTTTTGGGTTGACCCTTTTGTTGTTTAATTTAGTATTTTTCGGGGTTTTCGGTTTTGAGTCAGGAGCCCGCTTTGGGTTTGTTTTCATTTCTTTTTTTGGGAGGTTTGGTAGGTGTTTTTTGTCTTCTTCGAGGTGTCTCCGTGTTTTTTTTTTTGGGCGCTCTGGGTATTATATGTGTTAATGATCGCAAGAAACCCTTTTGGAAGGTTTGTGTATGTTCGGAGTTACTGTAGAACCGGAGCAAAGGGGATGAGTTCGAATTTGACTGAGCTCGTTGTTCCTTAACATCGAGGTGACTGGATTGTTAGAACTAGCTCAAATTGATCAAGGTATGTGACCTTGGATTACAACGAGGTACATGATCTCAAACTACCACCACTACACTTTTCATGCATAGATATTGTGTGCCGCGATGCTGCTGCTTCTTTCCTTCTTGTTCCCTGCCTTCTTCCATCATGTTGCCCGCGTATTCTAGAGCTCCTTTGTCTAGAACTACTTTGAAGGCTTGAAAGCCATGCCATGCCAAAAATTGCTAAGCTTTTGTGTGATGGTTTTAACCAAAATGGATACATGAGAAACAAATTTTTTTTGGTCATCCAACCAAAATTTTGACTTGAATATAGGTTCGATGATTAGTGCTTAAAAATTGAAAATTAAAATTTTGGTGCACTGAAATTTTTGATTTAATTTAAAATTAAGTTGCATCTAATCCTTTCTTAAATTAAGTTACTTATACATATTTTTAAAATAAAAACAATTAATTATAAAACTTTACATTATACTATACAATACATTGTGGTTTAAAACATTGTACATAACATTAATGATTAAACCTTGCAATTTTTCTTTCTATGGGTAAGGTATTTTTATCTTAAGTCACGCCTACATTAAAACTAATCTTTTTTAAAATAACTGTTAAGTGTATTCTTTATATTATCCTAAACTTCAAGATTTTTTATAAATTTAAATTATTACATTATGAAACTACCATTAAAGATTGAAGGCATATTTGGTAAAACTTAAAAGTTAATTTACTTTGAAGCAAAATTTTCTCATCAATGTTAACTTTTTTAAAACTGAGTTATATACCATGTCAAAAGTTAAATTCAAAATCTACTATAATATATTTTTAAATTTGTGAAAAAAAAAAATTCTTAAAAGCAATTTTCCATATAAACTCTTACAAACATGGAGAAAAGGTGCAGATAAGCTCCTAGTTTTATTTTATTTTTTTTCAAGATTAATTAGATTGAGATATTAATCTGGCATACATAATATTGATATTTTTAAATAAAAACATAAAATTATTTTTTAAAATAAAAACATTAAAAATTAATCACAGTAACTAAAAATCAATAAAATTTATATATTTTAATAAAAAAATATAAAATTTACACCTTTATATAAAAAATTATAAACTCAACAGCCTTATACCTGACTTTTCTCTACAAACATGTCCTCACGATCTAACCATTAGAGAAAGTAAACCCAAGAAAGAATACACTTTGATGGATATTTTTTAGAAATTCTTTCTAAAAATTTGGCACAATTTAAATTATACAATGATTATACAATAATTATTTTTTCCTTTCACTTTACCTTCTTTTTTCTTTTTCTTTTTTTAATCAGACGTTTCACGTTTGGTTAAGGAATTGGAATTCCGAGGGGCAAAGGAAGCCAATTCTTCAATATAAAAAGCCAATCTTTCATTTCCTTTCTCCTCTTTCTTGAGGAGAGATAAGACCGAAGGAAGGGTTTCTTTCTCTTTTGTCTCTCTTCTCCTCCCCCGTGCCCATAACCAGACCTCCATTATAGTCATCTTCTCATCAAGAAGAAGGAAGGTAAGCTAAGCCTGAGGTCTTCCAGCCAGAGAGACAGGGAATGGACTCAGCAGCTGCGATAACCACGGAACCGGCAGTAGCTGTGAACGCAGGCAAGGAGTCAATGGTTGATCCCTTCCTGGTTGAGGCTCTTCAGAACCCTCGTCATCGCCTTACCAGTTAGTATTTCTTTTGCTTTCTTTTAATTGTCTTGGGTCGATCCCAATTTCTTGTTTTTGGAAATGGGTGTTTAGGTTTTCCGATTTATAACGTGTTTGTGTTTTTATTTGGGTCTTGATTGGGATAGAATTGGGATTAGGATTTTTTGGATGGGAAATTGAATGTCAGATCGGGGATTCTTTAGTTTTTGGGAAATTGAAGGAAAAGGGGGTAAGTTAAGATTGTGTTCTTTATGTGGAATTAAATGAAAGGTTTAAAATTCCTTATGCTTCTAAATTTTAATGGAGAATGTTTTGTTTAGTTTGTTTTTCAATTCATATAATTTTGCGTGTAGTTTAGTTCGTAAGAGGCTGTAGGTTGAGGTCAAAGGAAAACAACAGAAGAAGTATATAGATCCAAGGTCTATCCCATGTGTGTATTTACTCTTGGCAAGATTAGTTAGTTAGTTACCAGGAGGATTTCTTTGATTTAGTTGTTGTTAAGTTTAATTTGGAATTTTGGAGCCAGTGCACTGTTAGCTGCATTATGGACATATGTAGCGTGGCAAGAACTGCTACCTAATTGTTGTTACAAATCCGTTCTTAGACTGTTGAAGAAGTGTGCCACCTGATTGATGTTTCAGTTTTGAGGTCAGACCTTTGAATGATACACCTGGAAGGGCCTTCTTTCTTCTAGTGACTAAGCCATAGTGAAACTGATGGGGAAGACAACTTTTAATTATGGCCTCAAGATTTTGGTTGAGATCAGTCTTGAATTTTTTGGGATAAATTTTACTAGAAAAAGGATCAAACTTAGCTCTTGAACTATACTGGGAAGCCTGTGTGCTTTTATTTATGGCTTTTGGACCATTGAAAATTCCCCCCGTTTGTATTAGGATTTTCCTTTTTCAGTAGCTAACATGTGCAATTTCCTGGCAACATCAGATTTATTGTATCCTTTGATGTTTCAGCATAGTATATAGTCTTATGTTGGTTTATGTTTTTTATAGTAAAACACTTTACATGTGTTGCTTTAGTTTCATAGTTAATCTGGTATTTCATGTCAGTGATGCTGGGTTAGGTTTCATTACCTTTGTGGTTTCCTAGCCTGATATTTATGTTTCATGCATGCTACAATTTTGCTGAACCAAACATTTGCCTGCTCCTCAACCTTACAACACTGTACTTTACATAAACAAAACAATTGATTTGATAGTTTTGTTTCCAGTTGCACTTTAAGTTTTTCAATCCTCTTTTTCTTTCCCCCCCTTTTTCACATCTTTTCGAAGTTAATTTCTTTTGGCTCTCTTTTGGCTCTCTTTTGGCAAGTCAGTTCTTCGGATGGAACTTGATATCCAGAGGTTTTTGCAAAATCCCGAGCAGCAGCAGTTTGAGTTTCAACATTTTTCTACTTCCTATCTTCGACTGGCAGCACATCGTGTTGCTCAACACTATGGGCTGATAACAATGGTTCAGGATGTTGGCTTAGATGGTCAGGGAAATAGAATTGTGGTCAAGAGATCAGGCGAGATCAGATACCCTGCTGTCCGTCTGTCTGAGATTCCAGCCAAACATTCAGAAATCGATAAACCTGATCAGGTTAAAATTGTCATCAGGCCTAGGCCGAATAAGGGGTCAATGAATGAAGCTAATGAAATTGGGATAAAACGATGTTCAGTGAGAAGTGTTGAAGAGAGGAAGGAGGACTATGATAGGGCTCGAGCCCGCATCTTTAGCAGCCCTAGCAGTCCCAATGCCGATGATTTTCCATCTAAGGACCCTGCTGATGGGAAAAATGAATGTATGAGCAGGGATGAGAATGAAGGTTCTAGGAGCTCTCCAGCTGATTCAGATAAAAATGTTGGTTTTAGGAATGCTTCTGCGTCTCGAGTTGCCATTTTCAGGGACAGGGAGAAGGATCGCACTGACCCAGATTATGACCGAAGTTATGAAAGGTAGCAGTCTGTTCTATTATTTTGAGATTTGAAGCTTTTCATTTGATGGATTTGTAGCTTGCATTGTATTTTTATAGTCCTTTTTTGATTGGATGCTTGCATCTTCTCAATATCCCCTTTCTCCATTATATTTCAAAACAGCAAATAGAAATCTATGGAAGTTAATGAGTAGTATAAGGATAGAATTATGTTGGTATGGCGTAAGAAGTCTTGACGGGGACATCTATATTTTATTTATTAGTATAGTAGTTTCTTAATAATTTTAATCCATAGATTATGAAATTATGAAATTGACCAATAGCATTTGTGATGCATTATTTTGCCTCTTATGAAGGGCTAATTTGCTGCATTTAAACCTTTTTTTTTTTTTTTTTTTGGATTTGTATTTAAATTTTAATCATGCTAAATTGCTGTGTGATTCTTCAGGTATGTCAGAAGCCTTCCAGCCAATCAGGGCTATGGCATGGCACCTTTCAACATGCAAAAGATTCAGTTTCCATTCCCACAATACGACCCTGCTTTTCCTCAGATGCCAAGGACTCAAGCTTCTCTTAGCTATGTCCCTCCAGGAACCCCAGTTGCAAACCCCTTTTCTACCATTGGCGTGAATCACACATCCAGAGACGGTGCTTATATCCAATGGCCAAATGCTACAATGATGTATGCCCAATCATATGAGCAGTTTAGACATGTTGCCATTCAGGTATCCTGTGATTCCTTACACCCATATATTCTACATAGGTGTCTCAAACATCTTTCATTGAGAGTATATACACTTTGATTTCTCACTCTAGAACAGCAACATTGGTGTCTAATTCACTTTGTAATCTGTTCTCTGCAGGCTCCTTTCTGTCACCAACCTCTAAGCTTTGGGTACTCACCGAACCATTAAATGATAAATGAGCTGAATACTATGTACTGTTTAGGATTACGTTGTTGGTAGCCCTATATTGTTGGACATCCTCTTTGTTCTTTTGGTTTAGAGTCATTTACTCTATCTCTATCTAGTTTGTGTTTATTTTTTTCCTTTGGATCTTAAACGGTAGCAAGAGGAGTGACAATCCAGTGATGAGTTATATGCCCTTCATCATTCTCCCATCTATCCTTGCTTCTGAAACCTAAAATTGGTCGCTGAATCTAGAATTACCAGGGCGAGGTGGTAGCTTAATTTATGAAAATATCGTTAGGAATGTAGAATACTAACAAAATCCTTCAACAAGAAAAGTGAATCGTAACATATAGTCAAAGAAGAAACGATAGGATCTTTGAGTTTAAATCTTAGGATTATTCCTTGTACCAATGCACATATATACGAAAAAAATTCACCTCTTAAATTGGTCTGCTAGGATAAGTCCACCTCTTAAAAAAATAAAAGAAAATGATAAGTTAATGTTTATCTCTTTTATTTTTAAAAATTAAGAAGGAAGTTATTTTAAAATTATATTATTTTAATAAAATATCATAAGAAAAAAAAAACATAATTTATGTTTTAAAAATAAAATATTTTTATTTTTGTTACATTCAAGTAGGATTTATTGGTATTTAACCTTTCGACTTAGTGGTTTTGTCTCCTTGATAGGTTTATTCCTAAACCCTTGGATTGGATTTGATTCCCCCTGCCTTAAATTTGTAATTTGTTAAAAAAAAAAAGATTTATTCAAATAATATAATTTTGAAGTGATTTTATACTTAATTTTTAAAAAACAAGGCAGAAAGGTAATTTTTCTCATAAAATAATACAACAACAAAATCACCCTCCAAATTTTGAACTAAAGAATTTTGCCTAAAATTAATGAATAGTGTAACAGTTAATAACTATAGTCTTTTTTCTTAATTTTTTCTCACAATTAACAATTTAAGTATAATTTATGTTTTTACTTATATGGTGTAAATGTTTATTAACTAGATCTATAAAAAGTTATAAGAAAAAAAATTTTATAATTAAGTTGTTTTAATAAATTTTTATTTAAAAATTAAAATAATATATTTTATTATATTTTAATTTAAAATAAATTCTAAATAAAAAAAATTAGAGTTATTTTAGAGTGGAGAGAGTACCTACCCACTTAGCTTACCATTTTTTCCACCTTGTGGCGCTGCCATAAAACTAAACGCAATTAGGCCATGACAGCTATAACGCAGTTGCACACTCTCCAATCTTTTGAACAATGACAAGAAATGTTCACAATAATTAATTATTGGCATATAGAATACGAGGGGGGAAAAACACTACCACCTGCACCTACCCCAAAACTAATCAAACGTACAGATACATATCTTCCAATCATCTGGGAAGTTCCTTGATTGCACACATAATGGCTGCGTAGTGAACTAGAACTTCAAAAAAAATATTAAGCTGTTGGGCTTAATTGGTCAGAGAGTTGCCCAACTAATTTTTGTTGACACCTATGATATGGATGCCCTCAAGATCCATGAAGACTAAGTCCATGAGTCATGACCTTAATAATAACTTTAATAGTTATAATGTTAAATATGATTATAAATTTACAATAATTAAAATTTATTAAATAAAAAATACATATAATATTACGATAGACTTATAAATGAAAAAAGTCAATAATAAAATTTTGTAATTATAAATTTATAATTTTATGTGATATTATAATTATATTATTTTTTACAATAATTTTGATAATAAAAATAACTTATATGGTAATCATGGATATCATATTCTGCTTCAACCATTTCACATTTAGAATTATAAGATAATTAGTTTTTATGTTTAGAAATAGAAATTATAAAATTTATGAAGCTTTTTAGAATATCAACCTTGAACCAATAAAATCACACCCCTTGGCTCCTTAGGTTGCATGCCTTAGCTAACATGATTTCATCCATTTATTTATTTTGGCCCCAAATCCACAACTAATATGTCGATAATAAAGAAGTGAGATCCAGGGTGGCTTCCACATGCAAACAAAGCATATTATTAGGTTGGTGATGGGAATAAACAAGACATGGTGAATTGCATCAAACCTCAAACCACCCTGTCAAAGTTTATGTGCCCTAAATTTATCAATTTTATCCCTTTATATATTTGCATTTAGGGTTCTTTTGGTCTGCCTTTTCCCCTTCTTTTAAACCCTTTTTCCATTGTTTTTGTTACAACACCCTTTTGTTATTACCAAAAAGAATTAAAGGACAAAAAAATGAATGATCAAGCTATTGACTTCTCCAGAAGTAAACTATTCCATCTAATTTTCTATCTTGAAAAAACCTTAATACAACTGGCAAGATCAGATCTCTTCCTTAGCTGCTGCCCATGTGCCTGCATTCATATTTGATGCTGGTCAGTACCCTAACATTGCTTTGCAAGAAAATCACTTCAGATTTGGAATAATCCCAAATTCTCTATATCATGATTTTGTTAATGAATTTTGTATAGAGAAGATACAAAGATGCAGTGGTCCTGATTCAGTTCCACAACAACACTTGTTTGCTATGATTACGAACAATAGAACAAATACTATTATGCTACAAAAGTGTTGCATAGTTCAAATTATACTAGACTGCAAAACATAAATCATTGGATGGGAGTTAGGCCCCTTGACATTGGAGGTTGACCCCTCACCGAATGATCTCTATTTTGCAATCTGGTGTGATTTGGACCGTAAAATAGAGAACTCATTATACCAACCATAATCTAAGAAATCTCTCATTTTCATACATTACCTGATGAGCATATGTCAATTCAGAAGGCAAGTTCATTAGTCAGGGTTAATGAAACCTAATTGCCATTGAAAGGAATCCAAAATTTTACTGGAAATAGCTATATAGTTCTGGACAAATTGGACAAGCTGTCATAAGACCATATAGCAGAATCCAGAAGAGATAAAAAAAAAAATCTCATTCCAAATTAAACTTTTCAAGATCACCAATTACAGTGTTATAACAAGTGTCAAAATTTGCCACTAGTAAAGTCTATCAAAATAGAACCTTCGAAGATCCAAAGTACAGTGTTATAACAAGTGTCAAGCCAGATCAAGTGATCTGAAGGAGAGGTGAGTCTCTGTTCACATCCTGGGATTAAGATGCATGTAGCACAGTTCTTTATCCCAACTACATATGTCATCTACAAAATACAAAAAAAAATATGTATAGGGATTCATGTTTAATAAAGTATATTAACACTGTAACAAACCTTGAGAGTATGAAGCACAGTTTATCTCTGGTTCTAAATGTAGCTCCTCCTAAAGTGTCAATGGTCTCATGATCTTTACTTTCCCTTTCTCTAGAGGGAAATTTCAGTCAGGATTTCATGTTGATGACCATGTTTCAACACAAAACGAATGAAGAAAGAGAGTGACTATAGTTGGCCAAGCAAAATGCAAACGAATTCAACTGCTTCATGCCTTGTGTGCATGCAATGGAAAACATACTTCATTCAGCAACACCATAAAAGAAGTTCAAGGTAAGAAGGAATTTCAGAAAATTCAGCTAGTGTTCAAGCTTCATTAGAATAAAACTACAATTCTACCAAGTAACATCAGAGTTTTTCAAAAGATCACCCTGTATCAGGGTCAAAAGTCGACTATCAAGTCGCACAATGTACAACAAGTACAACTAACCTCATAGCACTCAAATAAGAAGCAGAACGGCTTAACACAGGACAGATTACATGCTTCTGCAACCTTAATGCCAAATGTGCGAACTAAAGACCCAAAAGAGAGAATTCTAGAGAACACAAATAGCAACTGCAACTTGTGAGCCTTATTTGTCCCCACCTGCATGCTCAATATTTAATCAACTTGGTGCCCAAGCCAACCAATTTGATAAAGATGACCTCCCTGGCAAGAAGATTCCACTTTTAAGTAAAATGAGCCGATCCCCAAAATACAATGGGGTAATGCAACCTCTAACCATTGCAGAATGACCCAACATCAGACCCAAGTACTTGCTGCTCCTGAGATGCTTAGGAAGCTTATTTTCACTCTGGAGTGAAATTATGATCAATATCTATTGCCAAAACTGACAGCGAACAAACAGACGACTACTGGAAACCTAATTACATGTGTAGAAGTCTGCATAACTGAAGAATGACACCAGAATTGACAGTGCTACCAACCCCAACTTCAGGGTAGTCAAAGACCCGAGACGTTATGGTTCCAATCAATTCTACTGTCAGGTACTCTTGGATCCCAAGATGAAACGCAAAGACGGCTAACAAAATCTACGAAGGGTAAACAAGACACTCCATGAAACTCTAACAAAAGCACTAGAAAACAACAATTCACAAAGACCCAGATGCCTAATCAAAACATAGCTTGAAATAAGAAATTAAGTTCAATAATCAATGGGGCTAATTATTACCCAGATTCAGTCATCCCCAGTCGGAAAAAGAGTTAGAACCCTCCTCGCTCCATTCCCATTGGCAGATTCCAAATCCTCCACATAACTTGGAACCTGATTGTGCCCTGGTGCCCCCATCCTGTGCACTGGCTGCTGCGTCTGTCTAGACAGAAACGGATGCTCAAACTGCCCATTTGGCGGTGATCCGAAAGGCCCCATTTGCCTGTGATATTGAGGCTGCATATGAGGATGCGCAACTGCAGCAGCTGCCGCTGCCATCTGCTGCTGTTGGTGATGCTGCTGCAATGCTGCCATTGGCACAAACGGTAAAAAATGGTCCGAATTTGGCCTAACCGGATGCAGAAAATGCGGTGGAACTGGCGAGCTAGCAAACAAATGATCTGTGGCTGGGTCACTGCTGACAGCCAATCCACCGCCACCACCGTTGCCTGCACCACCTCCACCACTGGATAACCCCTGCATTCTTTTCAAATAGAGGCGATATTTCTGCAAATGACTAGCCACGTTTTCTCTGGTCAAACCTTCCACACTCATCAACTGCATTATAGTCTTAGGCACCGCGTTCTTGATCCCCAAATGCGCCACAGCATCCACAAACCTCTTGTGCAGTTGCGGAGTCCACACCAGCCGAGGCCGCTTAAGGGTGCGAGCAGGCTCATCCCCAGCAGCTCCGGAGCCCAACTCACCTGAATCCGCAGCGAATTCCGCAGAGCTGGGCTGGGAATGAGCCAAGGGATTGGAAGACGGAGGCTGTGCAGTTGGGGGCGGCGGTGGAGGTGGGGTTTGCTGCTGATGATGAGGGTGGGAGGCAGAATTGTTACTGGGGTTCCGGATGTCAAAAGCAAGAGCAAGATCAGGAGTGATTAGGGTTTGGGACAAGGGCATAAGCTCCTCCGGCGGTGGAAGCTCTTCCTCCCACTTCGAGAACCAATTAGACTCATCTTCCCTCATTATTTCCCAAATTCAGAACAAACCCAATTGAGTATCTCTCCAATTTAGGCAAAAATTCAACCCAAGTTCAAGATTTGTGGATAAGCGCAATAAATAGAGCAATCAGTAAGCCTCCGGAGGTAGAACCAAAACTGATGAAGAAAGAAGAAATTCGTGCAGAAAGGAAGCACCTTTCCCCCCCTCTCTGCAGAATTGATTTGGGTTTTGGATGGAAAGGAAAAAAAAGAAAAGGGGGAGAGAGAGAGAGAGAGAGAGGACTACGGAGGTTGACGACGACGGCGGCGACGAGGAGGGGTGGAGAGAGGTTCGAGGTGGATCTTGTTTTCTTCTTTTCAGCTTTTATTAGCTGATGCTTTTCTTATGATTTTTATGGGTTTTTATTTTTTCCGGGATTTGGGGGTCTCTAACACTTGAGAGTGAGTGTTGCTAAGATTTTTAGATTTTTACAACATTCCCAACACCGCTATAAGTGGCGCGTGAATACACGCGCAGACCTCCAGACGACCTGCAAGGCCGATGAGTAGGTGGCGGTGGTCGATGGCGGCGCGTGACACACGCGCTAGAGGGTGTGGATTTTAAGGATAGAATTTTTATGGGAAAGAGAGATGGGTTGTACGGGAATATAGTGGAGATTAGGAAAGGGATTAGAGTGAGAAAGATGCAAAGTTTCTTCGCTTTGTGAGGGAATCAACTCAGTTGATGTTTATGTACCAAAAAAAAAAAAAAAA